AAGAAAGTTATCTGTATGGAAAGGACGGTTCTTATCTCTTGGCGGAAGGATCACCCTCATTAATTCTGTGTTGTCAAGTCTTCCCGTGTTCCAAATGTTGGTCTATCTGCTCCCTAAAAAGGTAATCCACGAAATTGATAAAATTAGACGTAATTTCTTATGGGGAGGAGTTGAGGAGGGTAGGAAAATTGCATGGGTTTCTTGGGATAGGGTATGTTGCAATAAAAAAGAGGGAGGATTAGGGATAAAAAATCTGAGATGTTTTAATATGTCCTTACTTGGTAAATGGTGGGCTAGATTGATAGAGGGTGAGAATGGTTTGTGGGCTAGGGTGTTAAAAGAAAAATATGGCGGTGAGACAAGGAATTGGGTATCAAGGCTGAGGGAGGGCGAGGGTGTAGGTTCATCTTGGTGGAATGATATTTGCAAGTTAAATGCAACTCCACGTAGTAGGGAAGAGTGGTTAGCTTCAAACTTTAAATTGAACTTGGGTGACGGAAGAAAGGTTAGGTTCTGGAAGGACGAATGGGTAGGTGGGGTTACACTTGCTAACATTTTTCTTATATTGTTTATGTTGGCTACAGATAAAGATGGCAGTATTCGTGATATGGGTCTATGGACAAATGGGGGCTGGTTTTGGAATTTTCAATGGAGAAGACCTTTGCGCGCATGGGAAGATGACAAAATGCAACAAATGCTCGAGGCCATAAAACACATAATGCCATCACAAGAGGCGGAGGACACTTGGAGCTGGAGGATGGATAAGAAAGGAAAATATGCCACAAGATCAGCCTATGAAGAGCTTGCAAGTAAAGAAGAAAACAATTTGATGGAACACAAAAAGCTGTGGGGTGCAAAGGTCCTATCAAAAGTGAGTGCTTTCTCTTGGCAACTGCTACTTGATAGAATCCCTACCAAGGTAAATTTGGCTAAACGTGGGGTCTTAAATGAAAATCAAAATATCAATTGTGAATGGTGTGAATCAACCCCGGAACACAGCGATCATTTATTTCTCTCCTGCAACATCTCCTACAAACTATGGACAAGATGTCTAAATTGGTGGGGGATACAGTATGTACTCGGGAAAACTTGCATGGAGGTCTTCTGTCAACATAGCTGGCACAAAGGACCAAAAATCTTGAGAAAAAGCTGGAATATATTATGGTTCGCCTTAGTGTGGACAATTTGGTTGAGTAGAAATGAAACAGTTTTCCAACACAAGAAGCACGATGATGATAAA